GCTCACTATCGTGAGAACAGCATGGGGGAAACCGCCCCCATGATCCAATCACCTCCCACCAGGTCCTGCCCTTGACACGTGGCGATTATGGGAATTACAATTCGTGATGAGATTTGGGTGGGGACACAGAGCCAAACTATCTTGCCATCCCAGGCAAGTGGCACTGCCTCCATTCTTATGCTCCTGGTCTGGGCATCTGGATTTCCCACAGGTGTAGCCAAATGAAAGAGACCTTAGAATTCAGTTATACTTTGAAAAATACAAAACCAATTCTCCATTATAGTGGTTATGTTTAGCAATACTTAAGTCTCATTTCTAGAATGATAGCCAACAAGACAAACATATAGCTGTAATTTAATGCCTTTTTCAAAAGTCCATGGTCATTATTAAATAGATTATAGAAAACTCCCTTATCTCATCATAGTCACTGATGAGATTCATCCTCTGTGTTTCACCTGTTCTTTAAATTGGTGATCAGAGCATCTTGCTCAGGTGTGTCTACATTGCCCCTGGGCCCTAAACATCTGTAATGTCTTCCTCAGCCTCCAGTGTCTTTGTAACATCTAGACAAGAAAGTATTTTCAATTAACCACGGGAGAGACCTTGGTTCCCTGTCTGCTGTCAGCTCTTCCCTCCTCAAGCCCATTGGAATCTGAAAAGAAAACCGATAAAATAAAACTACTGCAAGAAGTTGCTGATTCATGTGAACTCTTTTTTGAAATCGAAACAAATTATTCTCTGTTGCTTTGCCCACCTCTTCTGATAAGCACCTGAGCATCTTTTAGGAACTTAAATTTTAATTCACTTTTCTTCAGCAGCTGAGACTTTATAGCCTACTTCTGCTAGGGAGTTGGGAGTTACAAAACATCTATTTACACCTGAAGCCTTTTGCTAAAAGAGTTGGCATTCCTTTCAGAACATAGCATCAATTTAAAATAAAAAAAGACATTTAAACAGAAAACACATTTCAAAATACATCAGTCTCCCATGGGGCTATTTTACTCAGCTGAGGTGGGGAGAGGGAGATTGTTCGGTTCTCAAAAGATAGAACCTTTTTTTCTGTCTGTGAACAAGGGATAGAATAGTGTGGGAGAAATGGCTGGACTTGGGACTCCAACCCAGGCTTGAATCTTGACCCTATCGTTATAATCACTTATGGCTCTGAGCATCCCTTACCCATATGTAAAATAGGGGCTATAATGCTGTGATTATCTATGAGCAAAGAAGCCAGTTATAGTTAAACCAGGAGAGAAATGATGGCAGCAACTTGATATTAGATTTTTTTTTTTTTTTTTTTTTTGAGATGGAGTCTCGCTCTGTCGCCCAGGCTGGAGTGCAGTGGCATGATCTCGGCTCACTGCAACCTCTGCCTCCCGGGTTCAAGTGATTCTCCTGCCTCAGCCTCCTGAGTAGCTGGGACTGCAGGTGCGTGCCACCACACCCAGCTAATTTTTTGTATTTTTAGTAGAGATGGGTTTTCACCATGTTAGCCAGGATGATCTCGATCTCCTAACCTTGTAATCCGCCTGCCTCGGCCTCCCAAAGTGCTAGGCTTATAGGCGTGAGCCACTGCGCCCGACTGATATTAGATCTTTGTACAAAGACTGTGCTCTTTCTAGCCCATGATTTGGAAAGAGTGTAAATGGTAACTAATAGGTTATAATAAACCTATTTGGAGATGGACAGAAGGTTACAGTAGTTGAGGGGTTTAGGGGAAGAGCTCAAGCCTTAGAATTAGATGATTTTTAATCTTGGTTTTAGGGCTCATTAGCTAAGGGACCCTGAGCAAGTTATTTTATTTCTCTGAGCCCCAATTTCCACGTTCATACAGTGGATACAATAATATTGGCCTTTTTATCCCTCAGAACAGTCTGATGAAATAATGAAGTGTGTTTTGTAAACTGGAAAGTGTGAACTGTCTACAAAAGAGACCTTGGGGGATGAGTGCTTCTCGGAGGCATGGGAAGCGCTGTTGGAAGCACCTCTCGTCCTGCCCCTAGGTCCTGCCCAGCCCAACACCTAGGTTCATAAGCACGTGTCTTTGAATCCAGCTAAGATGATGCAGTATTTACGCAAGGAGTGTTTATGGAAAGCAAGAGATGAGATACTTTGTCTGTGAGAAATGTTTACATAAGTGCCTTTTAAGGTGGAGTTATGCCTAGTGATGAAATTTCACTTACATATGCAACTGAAAATAAAAGGTGAAAGTCGAGGTAGGAATTTTTGTTGGGAACAATGAAAGTAGTAACAGAATAGGAAAGGACCGGGCAGCAAGCAATGGAGGGAAGGAGTTTTGAGATCAAAGCAGGATTTCCACTTACTATCATTAAACCTAGTATTTCAACGCTTAGTGTTTGGGGAAGAATGATCAGCCATTGTGTTGCAGTGGAAAACATCCAAGCGTTGATTTCCAGAGAGCCTGGGGTTCCTCTGGACCGGCTTTGTCTCTGGTGTTTTGAGGGAAGAATCACTAGCTTTTCTATGTGTGCAAAAGGCCAGGCGTCTAAATGGATATCTCTTCCTTTAAAAACTTCTGTGATGATAAATGTGTGCGTGGGATCCTGTTAAGCAGGGAATTCCTTTGAAAGCCTTGTTTCCCTTTTCTCTTCATGGCCCAGAGATAGATCCTGGCTGCATTTGTATATGAAAACTCCTCAGCCTTGCTGTGTTCTCCTGCCCCTTGAGAGTCGTGTTCTGTTTGAAAAGAGCTGAACAAATGAAGGCTGTTTTTTCACTTGGGATAAGAATATCCTTCTCAAAGCAGTAAGGGCTGAACGAGGGTAACAGGATCCATATGTAGAAGCTGGCTGCTAATACTCAGCATATGGTCCAGCAAATTTTCTCGGGGGGACTCAGCTTCTCATTCTTTCAGGAATGCCCCAGTGAACTCCAGAAAAGATCAGGACTTAGGTGACCATGGCATAGACACAGCTTCTGGGCTTCATAAGCCTGTATCCCCCAGAGAATGAAAGCCGCAGGAAGTACAGGGAAGGTCCTGGCTGGCCCCAGCATGGATGACACTGGCCTGCAGCTCTCTTGTAAGGCTCCATGCTTCCCAAGATACGATGGGCCCTTATCAATTCATGGGTTGTCTGTGTTCTGTTAAGGGATAGTGAATCCAAGGGTTACTTGGGGTCCCCAGATGGTGTATTCTAGTTAATGGAAACGTTTTGCCCTCTGTGCAGGGGCAGCATTGCATCGTGGAAAGAACACCTACCTGGAGCCAGGAGGCCTGGACTCTGGGGCCATGCTAGCACTAGCTAGAAGTGACCAGAGGGAAGTCACTTCACCTTTTCCTCATCTGGAACATGAGGAGGCAGGACGCGGTGATATCTGAGACCCCTTTGGGCTCTCACAGTGTAGAATCAAGTGGCACCTGAACTCCATCCTAAGGAGAATGACAGGAGAAAGCAGCCACAGCTAATCACACTTGCACCTGCGCGCAGTGACCCTGCGGCGTAGAATTCCAGCACAGCTCTGTGTGGAGCGGTAGGGGAAGACCTTTTATTGCTCTCAGGCAAGAATTAGTCCTGAGCCTCAGGGAGCTGGTAGTGGTGGTCTGAGCGGGGGAGAAACTAGCTGCCCTGCATTACTCTATTTCTTCCAAACCAGTTTTTGGAAGTCTGGGTTTTCCCCTCTGATTTTCACAGAGGACAGCTCAGCATCTTCCCCCTGCCTCTGCCCAGGGCCCCATTTCTCCCCTTACGCCCTCCTCTTTCCCTTTTCCATCCCTGTCTCCACCACATCACCGCTTTCTCTCTAAAGGCTCTGCTGGGTTTCTCCATGACCTGCCTTGTCTGTTGCTGGCATGGTTAGGAAGGCCTCACCCGCTTCCCAGCCCCAAGCAGGCCCTCTAATCCCTGCAGTCGGCTGAGGACAACTGTAGTCTCTCCATCAAATAAGCATAGACCAAGACCTGCGGCAGCTCTGCCTGCGAGCCGGTCACCATGGCAACGAGCATTGCCTCCATTCTACTGTGAAAAGAAAATGGCTGTTGGAAGGAAGGGCTCACTGAATCTCCATTCCCCGGCCTGTTTTGTTCAAGCCCCTCCCTCCTACTGGACTGAAGAAGCCTCAGGCACTGAACCAAATACCTGTTTACCTTTAGATTTGGGGCTTACTTAAGAGGAGGAGAGGCAGAAAGAAGTTGAATTCAAAGAAATAAAGCATTTTTCCACCCCAAAACTCTATTTTCGTGAGGAATGGTTATCTGCTCCCAGCAGATAAACGAGGAGCAGATGAACACAGGGATCTGTGAGATCTGGCGCAATGTATTTTGTCTTATCGGTGCAGTGGAATGACAGAGCGTACGGATGTTCAAATAAAACTTCAGGGAAAGTAGCCAAGAGACCCAGGGAATTCCGCAGGGCACGGGCTACAGAATTTCCGAAGCGTGTCTGACTAATTGGGGTGGTGATATTATGGAAAGTGGCGTGTTGGTCCTGTAGTCATGAGGGAAGGTGAGCATTTACCCTTACCATCCCCACTTCAAAATCAGTGTGAGCCCTCCTAGTGATTGTGTCTGGACGGCGTGGGGAACTGGCAGGAGACCCCTGAGGTTGATTCTGGAGTGCAGGCTTCCTGCACTTGACACAGCTGTGGAGACACTTCAGATGACATCCAGAAGGAATTGGTTGGGTCACCATTTCTGTGAATCCCAGGATGCTGCTGTTTTGGAGCAAGATCATAAGTCTTCTCAAGGGGTTGGAAACATTTAGGGTAGAGATCACCCAGAATCTCCCAGGACACCTTGCACTCTCTGATGGAAAATAGCCATTCCATAGGAGAATGGTCTGGGCCGTGTCTCTGCCTGGCAGCACATGGCCCTGGCTGTTGGTGGCACAAGTTCTCAAACCCCACACAACCTCCTCCCTTCACTCTTTCTTAAAGTCAGTTGGGAAGCCTGTTTTTGAATGGAAGATCTGGGTTTCATTCTTGAAAAGTGGAATGTATGTTTGAACTGGACTTTGTTTTTGTTTTGTTTTGTTTTGTTTTTTCAGCCTCTCTGCAGGTGGATATTGTTCCCAGCCAGGGGGAGATCAGCGTTGGAGAGTCCAAATTCTTCTTATGCCAAGGCAAGTGCCCAGTGCGCAGCTGCATTTTAGAACTTGCTTCAAAAACTCACCGGGTAGAGCAGGAGACCCCAGGCCATGTGAGCTGGCTGGTCATGCCACACCTAGAATTCTTGGCATCGCGCTATTACAGGGTCAATAGTGTGGCCATTTAAGAGCCAGGGCCTCTTCCTTCCTTTTGCAAAAGGCTGCCTCAACATAGCAAATCCGTCATTTAGACTTCACCTTGACTGCAGAGGAAGTCTAGGAGTTTTCTTAAGAAAATCAGCACAACTTCCAGAATAGTGAATCATCCCACATCTCCTGTTCTGTATACATTCAGAGTTCTGTAGATGACAATGGAGAACAGCACTGGCTCAGAAATAATACTTTGGTGGATCTGTTTAAGGCTTATTTCTTAGAATTCCCCAGAGCTTGAAAATCTAAGTCTAAAACTTGCCTGTAGGTAAATAGAATACTGGTATGGCTTTTCTTGTGAGGACATATATCCTGGGTTTACCAGGTCTATTGTGAATATCAATATTCTGTGCCATGGTCCCCACCAGAGCTCTGAGATATGCCAGACCTGGTGACCTTGTTTTACATTTAGAAAACATGCCCCATTTCCACAGCCCAGATAATTATCAGAAAATATCCTGTGGAGGAAAAGGCTTCAAGTTAAGCCTCAGATTCTCGTATGTGACATGACTGGGATTCAGAACATGGAAGAACCAGGAAAGAGCTGAGCTAGGTATAAACGGTGACATTTAGCGAGCAGCTTTTGGCAGGGAGGGGCCTTTAAATGCTGTCATGATTTGCGCGGACGAGGTGGCTTGTGGCCGTCAGATGTGTTCACTCCAGCTTTGCCTTCATTACAGCAATTTCAATGATCTGGAGACGCAGCCGTGGAGCCCACAGCACATCTTGCAAATAGCGATATTTATTGAAAACATGATGGGCCCTGAAAGGAAGACTGCTTCATTTCCATACTAAGCATCTGTGCAGGGCTGGGTGGTGCGGGCTGAGAAGGGTGCCACATGAAGAGGCAGGGCCCCATGCAAAGAGGCAGGGGGCGCAGCCACGTCTGCCGGATCTGAGCGCCCTTCCAGCTCAGTGTCCTGGGCAGTGTCAGTGTCAGAGCCCTGTTCCAGCTCAGTGCCAGGGCAGCTCAGCCACCGCAGTCTGTTCCTCCTCATTGGTGCCTGGGGAAAGGAAGAATGGGTGGTTCTGGCCACCTTCTTTGCAGCATGCAAGGAAATGAATTTGTCTGAGCAGGGGGTGCCGAAATGACAGTCATGCCAGTTTGTGCAGGCAGATGCTAGAATCAATGTGGCTGGAAAAAAATATAAAAAATAAAAAGTGGTTGGAATCTGCACCCCTATACTAGCCAGTATTTCTCACCTGCAGCTCAGGAGACCCATTATCCAAGGCTTCGAAAACAAGCTGATCAGTCGACTCAGACCAGTTAGGCTCTGGAGCCCAATCCTAAATACACGAATTCCCTTGGTTACCCGTTCTGTGAGGCATGTGTGTTCCTAGCTTAGTGCCCAGCACACAGTAGTTCTCAACAAATATCTCTTCTCTTCCATCATTAGGGATAGGATCATGATAACACCTAGCACAAGTGGTTGTTGAGTTCTTTCCGAATATCGTAAGAGGTGTTAAGTATATAATAGTTAAATGCAGAAGCCGAAGAAGGGCTGCACGTCATTCTAGCAGCCATACTCGCCCCTCCCTGATGTTCGAGACTTGACTGATCCGTTGTTCAGTAACTCGTACTGATCAGCCACTGTCAGTCTGGAGGGGACTTAGTCTTTTCAACTTCAGTAGCTTAAAAATAATCTCTTCCTCTTTAGTGGCAGGAGATGCCAAAGATAAAGACATCTCCTGGTTCTCCCCCAATGGAGAAAAGCTCACCCCAAACCAGCAGCGGATCTCAGTGGTGTGGAATGATGATTCCTCCTCCACCCTCACCATCTATAACGCCAACATCGACGACGCCGGCATTTACAAGTGTGTGGTTACGGGCGAGGATGGCAGTGAGTCAGAGGCCACTGTCAACGTGAAGATATTTCGTAAGAGCCTCCTTCTTCTGCATTCTCTGGCCTCTCCTTGCCAAGGAGACACATGGGTAGTAGAAAGGTGGAAATGATGATAGAGGGACCAGCTGAGGGCCTGACCAGTCCCATTCTCTCTCCCTAAGTCTTTTCTGACCTTGGCCAACCCAGAACTCACAACCGTGGTTCACACTGGTCACAGCTACTCCCCCATAGGCATTCATTCTCAAAATTCAAATTACACAGTTCCCAGGGGGCAGGTACGGGTTTCTCCATCCCTTCCCCAAATGTTGGCTGACTGTTCTACAGTTTGGGCTCTTCTCCCTTATTTCCCTCTCCCCTGCTGGTAATGGAGCCCAGGGCTCAGTGGGGTGGGGGATCATTATCTGAACACTCTTGCCACTCAGAGCAGGCAGTTCCTATTGCCTCTGAAACCCCATCTGAGGGTGACATCTTGTTACCTTGTTATTAATATCACACATCCATCCTGGTGGTTGGAGTAATGGTGGGTGACAGCTAATGGAACAGTATTGATAGTACGGTATTTATTGCCATTAAATATGGTTTTTTTCTATTCTTTTCATCAGCATTCTCTCTGCTGTAGAAAGTTGGGGTGGGGCTGGGAGTTCGAATAGGAGACAAGAAAAGGACTGATGACTCTTACTATTCGTTGTGGAATGGATGTTCCACCAGTTCATTCTACCTATAACCTGTGCTTCACTGGCATTATCCTGCATGACAAGGAACCCTTGGTGAAGATATTCCTTTCGTTCTGTAGGCCCTTTTCTGCACAAAATATGATAAACTTAGCACTCAGTGAGCAGATATTGGTTGCCAAGCATTGGCAACCTATGCTTGGGCCAGCTGCTCTGCCTGACGTCTATGAGGGTGCCCCTCTTATACAGCTGTACATCAGGATCGAGACTTGCCCAGGAGTCAAGTCCAGGTAGCATGGCTCTAGTGAAAGGGGATCTTTGTGGGAGAAGCAGCTGTTTTCCCTCACTCTTCTGCTCATTTTCCAGAGAAACTCATGTTCAAGAATGCGCCAACCCCACAGGAGTTCCGGGAGGGGGAAGATGCCGTGATTGTGTGTGATGTGGTCAGCTCCCTCCCGCCGACCATCATCTGGAAACACAAAGGCCGAGATGTCATCCTGAAAAAAGATGGTGAGACCTGAATTTCCTGGCAGCTGCCTTTTCCCCAGGGCACCAAGTTCCATAGCTTTTTCACCTGTACCAACCCCTGAGGCATTCCAGTCCAAACTCAGATTCATGTGCGCCCGAGCCCTCATGCAGTTTGTGGGTCCTGAATAGATGTATATCTGAAGTTGGTATACTTAGGTACTTGATTTTCTCTCCAGTACAAAAGACAAATTTCTAATAGACATTTACTCTTGGCTGTATTTCAAAGCCAGGGACACATTTTCTTATTTGGGCTTAAAACCCCACCTTCTAAGACTGAAGTTAGGAAACAGGAAAGAGACTCAGCCCCCTATCTGCAGATACCAGAGCTCTCTGACTGATTCTTGGATGAACCTGCCTCTTATCTCTTCTAGTCCGATTCATAGTCCTGTCCAACAACTACCTGCAGATCCGGGGCATCAAGAAAACAGATGAGGGCACTTATCGCTGTGAGGGCAGAATCCTGGCACGGGGGGAGATCAACTTCAAGGACATTCAGGTCGTTGTGAATGGTGAGGAGATCCCGTTCTTCCTGATATCTGCATTGCTACAACCTTGGTTCTCCAAAATCATTCTCTTAACTTCCTCTTTGGTGTGTAACTAAATCCTGTCCTGACTCAATCATCCCTCTCAGCTAAATACCCTCCCCACCTTAACATCTAGATTTCTTTTTTTTTTTTTTTAAATATACTTGCCTGTTGGATCTTCCCTCAACTATGGGGGATGTTAGTGCAGCAACTGAACGTCCTTCACTGTTCTGCAGCACTAAAAACTTTCCCACTGCTTACCTATTAATCCTCATTGTCCTTGATGTTACCATAATTGTGAAGTTAGTCCTCTGCTTAAATGTTCAAAGAAAATATTACAGTCAACTCAGGCCTCGGAATAGTCAGAATCGTGGTCCATAGGCTTATTAATCTTAATTTGCAGTGTCAAATAAACACACCCATGGAATCGATCTGACATTTACAAGACGTTTACAGGAAATTATAATGTCAGTACTAAGAAAATAAGTAAATCAGGGTTGAATGGTTTTGACTATTGACACATTTTTCTTTTTTTTTTTTTCTTTTTTTTTTTTGCCAAACTCTCCCCCTCTCATTCCTTTGGTAGAAAACAGTTTTGTGCAAGGTTGTTTATCACAGTCCCAGACAAATGGCACTCTTTTTTGTAGCTGATGCATTCGAATTGGTGTTAACCATTTAACCACTGGGAGCAGTAATGTCCAGCTTTTTCCAGTATGAAGAGCCCCTTTTTAACATCGAGTTCCTCTGACTCTAGTAGTTATTAAGTTTAGTATGCATTGACTGAGAAAATATATAATGAAAAATAGCAACTATAAATTAAATACCATCTTAACATGAATAAAATGTATTATTATAGCTTCTCAACTAATGAAAAACAAAAAAATGCATGTTTGTAGGAGAACTGTCTATTCAGTTTACAGAAGTTATTTAGTACATACACGAATTTCGATTCCTGACACTAACTCTGTAGCCGCACAGGACGTTTGTCCCACAGGCTGAGAACTCCTGACCTGGAGCGGTGTCTCTTCTCCAGGCCATTGGGTTCTTCCAAATTTTCACAACCACCCCATGACACCCTTTTTTCCTTCAGTGCCACCCACCATCCAGGCCAGGCAGAACATTGTGAATGCCACCGCCAACCTCGGCCAGTCCGTCACCCTGGTGTGCGATGCTGAAGGCTTCCCGGAACCCACCATGAGCTGGACAAAGTAAGACACTGGCTCATGCCTTTTATCATGGACTAGAGGTGAATGGGGCATCATGAAGTCTGCTCCATGTTAGTGTCTCAGTGAAATGGATGTGGGCTTCTTAGGAATATCAACCCCAGGAGAAGAATGGACTCTTTTCTTTAAGATTCTCTTGCTTGTGCATTGATTATTCCTTCAATTTCAGCCTTGTAGGGGCAGAGTCAGAGCCAGAGGGTGTGGTCTTGGGAGCCCACTTTTAAACCTTTGTGGGTACAGTTGCAGCTCTTGGGTAGTCAGAGGATGGAATAGAGGAATAAAGGGTGATTGTGGACGTTCAGCTTGGTGCCTTAACTTTTTGTGAAGACTGAGGAGTCTTTCCCATTGACTCAGTCTGCATTCTATGGAACCTAATTAAAAATAAACGTCTTACTTCTGTGGTCAAAATCATGCTACTTTGCCTTTCTACACACTCTAGGGATGGGGAACAGATAGAGCAAGAGGAAGATGACGAGAAGTACATTTTCAGCGACGATAGTTCCCAGCTGACCATCAAAAAGGTGGATAAGAACGACGAGGCTGAGTACATCTGCATTGCTGAGAACAAGGCTGGCGAGCAGGATGCGACCATCCACCTCAAAGTCTTCGGTAAGGGCAATGGGGGCCCAGGTCACTGCTCTGCCACAATTCCTCTTCCTCTGCACATTCAGTCCATCAGTAAGACCCTGGTCACTCTCCCTCAGAACATAACCCAGTGCACCCATTTCTTGCCAGTTCCACCACGTAAGCCCTAGTCCAAGCCACCATCATCCTCACCTGGGCAGGGGGACGGTCTCATACCTGGCCTCCCTGACTCTCCCTATTGGTCCACTTCATTCCCTTCTCTCACAGTAGCCAGAATGACCTAAATGCCACTCATCGGTTTGAAAGCCTCCAGTGGCTCCCTATGGCAACCAGAATAAAAGCCAGACTCCCTGCAATGGCCTACGAGACCAGACATGAACTAGCCCCTACCTTCTTCTCCAGCCTCATCTCTTTCACTTTGCTGCACATGTAAAGTTCTCCGACCACACAGGCCTTCTTCATGTCGCTCAGACATACCAAGCTTGTTCCTCATCTCAGGGTCCTTGCCCTTGGTATCCCTTCTGCTTGGACTGTCTTTCCCTCTGACCCACTCTGAACTGCCTTCTTCTGATCCACCATTCAGATCTTAACTCAAACTCACCTTCTCAGTGGCTCCTTCCTCCACTGCCCTGGCTATATTCAGCTCCCCCTGCACTGCGACCACCCCCACCCACCTCCACTCATCTCTCTCTCGTGACTCTTACTGGATCTTCTTCTCTGTACCTAACAGTACCTGAACATATGTCATTTGCATATTTGTTTTGGGGATTGTCTGTCTCCTACCTCTACTAGTGTGTAAACTTCAAGATAGCAGAACCCTGGCTGTCATACACGGCGTTATCCCTGTGACTCCAAACAGTGCCAGACTTGGCATAGGCCCTTGGTAACTTTAGTGGCCGACAGGCTGGCTGCTTTGCCGTGTTTGCTTCCTTCCCTGGCCTGTGTGAAACAGTGTCATAGAAGAGCCCCTGCATCCCTGCTCACTTCATCTTCATAAACTCAGGAAACTTCCATTCATTTCAGAACTGAAAAGCATTTTGACCTGATCTTGAAAAAAGAATTGGTTGCAGAGAAACGTTTAACCTAATGGCCCTCGAGTCTCTCCGCACGTCTGTTTAGAAAACACAGATAAGGGCCGGGCGCGGTGGCTCAAGCCTGTAATCCCAGCACTCTGGGAGGCCAAGGCAGGCGGATCTCGAGGTCAGGAGATCGAGACCATCCTGGCTAACACGGTGAAACCCCATCTCTACTAAAAAATACAAACAACTTAGCCGGGTGTGGTGGCTGGCGCCTGTAGTCCCAGCTACTTGGGAGGCTGAGGCAGGAGAATGGCGTGAACCCAGGAGGCGGAGCTTGCAGTCAGCCCAGATCGTGCCACCGTGCTCCAGCCTGGGCAACAGAACGAGACTCTGTCTCAAAAAAAGAAAAACAAAGCACACAGATAAACTGGTCTACTGTAGACAGCGCTGCTGAGGAGGTGCCAGTCTGAGGGGCAGCTCTGGTGCATGGAGCCCCCAGGTCGTTAAAATGTGCACCCGGGAATCAGGGTTGGGACCTGCTTATTCAGCCTGATCAGGAGAACTGTTCATAAACACAGACCCTTGAAAATCAAAACTTTATATGCAAATGGTCTGCTAGTTATTCAGTAGTAAACAGCTGGGTTTAGAAACAGGCTATCAGTGTGGTTCAAGTTAACTGTATGTATTTGAGAGTGAAAGCTAAACTTCATGAAAAATATTCTTGAAAGTCTTTTCTTGAATTCAGACTGATCTTCCCCAATCACTATGGTTTTAGTAAGTTTTTCTATATTATAGAAAAAGATAGATGCATTTGTTCATCTCTTCATTTAATAAATGTGTATTGATCACCATTGTTGCTGGACAGAGGGGCTACAGAGATGAGTAGGATATCATCCCTTGACCCTGGGAAACACAAAGAGGGAGATCAGTGGATAAGCATAAACGTTACAATAGTCAGTGTCAGTCAGCAACATTGGAGTGACTGCTATGGACTCAGTCATTGCCAAGTTTAGAAGATGAATAACATGGACTCTGTTCTCATCAGTAGGTTCACAGGCTAATGTAGATAGTCAATGCTGAAATTTGAAACGACAATACGTTGTTATGACTTCATAATAGCAATATGCACAGTGTTTTGTAGGAAGCAAGTTCTCTGGTCCTGTGTGATGCAAGTTACAGAAGTCATTAAAAGGTACTATTTCATAAGTAGGAATTACCCAGCTGAAGGAGTGGATGAGAATTTTAGGCAGCCTGGGCACAGGCACAGAGGCAAGAAAAGCACAGGCTGTGTTGAATGGGAGCTTCTTGTGGACAGAGGCTGTGTATGTTTTACTCACAGATACATCCCAGCACCTGAAACAGTAGCCCGCATACAGTAGGCACTAGATTGAATAAATGGAGGAACTGTCATTAGTTCTATGTGATGAAGCAAACATACATATGTGGCAGGGAGATAAGCCTGGAGACACGATCATCACCTGTTTTTTGGATATTATTTTAGACTTTAACTCCATAAAGTAATAATAATAGTAATATCAAACACAAACAGAACATCTATAATGTGCCAAGCACTCTGTGAAGTGCTATCTGTAAGTTAACTCTTTTAATCCTCATCACTCCCCTATGATGTAGGTTTTATTATTATCCCCGTTTTACAAAGGAGGAACCTGATCCCAGAGGGATGAGGTGCCTCTGGATTCAGACCAAGGCAGGTGGCTCCTAAGTCCCTTCTCTAATCTAACAGTGATGGTTGTTAACTCCACAAAACCCAACAGAACACATATTGTATCTGAATTATATAGAGAGTGTCTGGCAAAACTAGAATTAGTGCACTCTGCCTGCACCACCAGGTAGCTCATGGTTTCTCTGCAAAAGCAACCCAGTCCCAACTTGGCTGGGCATGAACAGATCTCGGCTTCTCTTCCAGGCCTCTCTGGTGGTGATGGCTGCCCCAGAGCAGTGACTGCAGGGCCATGTGGGACCATGGTAGAGGGAAGAGAGTGGGCCAGGTCGACGGAAGGGGGTCATGAGGCAGGGAGAATAAGGGGGGGAAACTGCTAAGACAAGATTTGTCTTCCCACCCCCCACCTTGGACACATACACCCCTCTTCATCACACACACACACACACACACACACACACACACACTTCACAATTTCTTTCCCAAAACTGCAGCTGGAAGAATAGGGAGCATAGTGAGACAAACAGAGAAGAGGTGGCCGGGCTCCCAAAGAGACAGGAATCATAGACTTGTAGACACTGAGTCCACTCAGAACAGGAATCCTCCCCTGTCATAGTCTGAGTTGCGTTCATACAGCCTCCCTGAAGGAACCTGGTGCCTCCTCTCCACCACCTTTTCCCATCCACCTCCCGTTCTCATCCTCCTTTCTCTCCTCCTCCTCCACTGGCCTCCCCATTGGTTGAAGAGACTAATACAGGGCTAGGGAGCCACCTCGGGGGGACCAGCCGGTTAGGGCTCCATCTTCTTCCACCCTTTTATTCCCTCTCCATCCCCTTCCAACTTGCCATCGTGGACCATTGCTAGGGGAGAAATGGGGCAGGTTCCCTAAGTGGGAGTAGAGTCTACAGCAATGAGGTAGAAAAGGGAGGAAGCCTGTAGCTTAGATAGTAAAAAAAAGCCCAGAAGTCCTGTGGCTTCAAGAAGGGATGTCCATCAGTATGTACGGGACATATCTCAATTAGGGACTTTATGACATCATTTGTATCTAAGTGGCATCATTCTTTCCTAAGAAAAAGACATGTTCTAGCACATGTTGCCTTAGTTATTAGCTAGATGCTCCTTTTACTAAGTAGGTGCATCCTCTCGTCCTTTAAATTTGGCAGTGAATTCTCATTACTGCTGTCCACATGCATGCCTCTGAAGAAGTTTTGTCTGTATTGATTCCTTTGATGCTCATGTAAATGCTCTTGAGGTCTCATGCTTCTGTGGCTGAGGCAAGTTCACCAGTGGCTAGGAGCCCTGTGTCTCAAGCAGCCCCTGAGGGTTACAGCAAAGGACAAGCAGCAGCCTGAAAGAAGGTGCACCTGGTCATGCCCCATAGCATAGTGTCCAACCTCTTTGTTCAAGGACGCAGGGGCCTCAGGGCTCTTCTTCGGGTTGTAGGAGCATGAACTGGAGTGGGAGTAGACAAGGCTGCCTCTTAGTGGAAAGCATTCTTGGAAAACTCACAGGAGGAAATATGGGGAAAGGTGCAGTAGAACAGTCTGAGGCACTAAGGCCCATGGAGGCAGGTGGAGAATAGAACAGGGATCCAAAAGTCAAGAACTCATAAGAGAGGTTAATTAATAAAGGACAGGGGGTATAGGAAGATGAAACCCGGAGAGATTCCTCTAGATGCTGGAAAGCAGAGGGAGGAAATCTTTTCAGTAGGGTGACCCAGCATTTGTCCCTGTTGGCCTACCAATGCCCTTTGTCCTGGTGCGATTATTTAGAGCCTTTCATGTCACTCTCAAGAGAGTCCCAATTTAGACAATAAATTATGTATATCACTGTCTTCTTCTAAGGTGGCATTCTGAGCTTTCTGAATTAGTTCTGACAGTAGCACTGCTTCTAGAGTAATAGAGAATTAAGTTATCAGTGGGAAGCTTGCCTTCCTTCCCACAGCACTCTGTAGACTCTACAAAATTAGCCATGATCATGTTTTAATAAGAATATGGTTTGCCTTTTTTCTAAGGAGTCATACAATGCACCTTCTGTAGCCATCTGGGAAATGGAGCCACCAAGGCCAAATACTAATAGATGGCAACTGACCCTTGCCTGTCTTCTGTTAACCTTCGGCTGCCGTGACAAAGTACCGCAGGTCAGGAGAAGGTCAGCAAAACACTGTCCAGATCTCAGAGTCTGACAAGATTTTAAGAGGCCCCAAATTCAACCTTCCTGAGATTGTCTCCGGACCTCAAAACAACTGTTGAGTTTAGCGGATTCAGTTATATGGCTGAATTTTTTTTTTTAATTTTTTTATTCTGTGACTTTTATAATATAGAGATTCAGCTCTTATTTTACCTTTATTTTATTTTATTTTATTAGCCTTTTTTGTTTTTCATGTTTCTTTTATTTTACCTTTATTTTACTTTGCCCTCTAAAATTTCCCTGTCAATGGCACTTAGCACATATTCCTTCCAATACAAGTTGTAATATTCTCGAAAATCATATCTATCAAGGAAGACACAATAGGGAAACCTATGAGGTTTAACCTCATTCATGTGGACTCCATCAACTGAAATCTATGAACATTTGGCCAAATTGGATTGAGATGTGCCTATGTGCTATCCATCAAAAAAGAATTTGCTAAACAGGCTGTTAGTATGCATTACCTTTAGGCAAATATTTGAACCATGTAGGTGATTTCATGTAGAAGCAGGCATTTGTAACAAAAAGTGTATAGTTCTGTTATTGTTTTCTGTTTATTAAATCAGCATCAAAGACCTCAACATGGAGAATATATATAGGCAGTCATTTATTCGCCTACTTAGGGTTACTGTATGAATTTGAATATAAAGCAAATGTAGTCTTTTCAAAAACTAGCTATCATTCTCTTGGGGTTTTTTGGTTCATTTGTTTGTTTCCATAGCCTGGCCTTTTCCTTTATTCACGAAATAAGTTACATTTGTGCAGTGTTATCTTTTCTCTTCCACACAAAGTTCAGCGATTTCAGAGCATAATTGTTTTAAATTGGGAAAATTCAATTTTCTCTAATGTTTTAACATTTAACTTAGCTTTGGAATGCTTGTGTTTTCTTGCATTACCCAAAACATTTGGAAAATGAACTCATCTCAACTCATCTCCTTCCCATCCTGAGCCCACCCCAGAGCCCCCATCCAGTTCCTTGCCTGATTTCTTCATTTGAGTTAATGCTGATACCATTCTCCCAGTCGTTAAGACTCCGAGTCACTTGGACTCCTTCTTATTGCTCCTTTTGGTTCTTCTCACCCCTCCTTGCCCTCTCTTCAGTTGCCACTTACTGAACCTTCCTCCACTCCAGGATCTGTCTCAAAGCTGCTCTTTGCTCTTTCCTCTCGAACGACCTCGTTCAGAATGCAGCGTTACCGCACATCTGGGTCATTGCCAGGGCTTCCAAACTGGATTTCCCACCTCAAAGTTTTCTCTGGTCCAACGCTTCCTGAAATGTCCCTAGGTTAACCTTCTTGAAATACAAAAGCTTTTGTGTCGCTGATTAAATGCTGTCTGTGGGCCTCTACCAGGCACCAGGTAAAATTCCAGCCATCCAGCCTCTGCTTCCTGTGCCTCATGCCACACTTTTCTCTTCCCAGCCATCTCTTCATATGTTCTTGCTTCTTTGCTTTTATTCAATCAGTTTCCTACACTTCAAATGACTCCATCTCCACCCTAGAGTTCCACCTGCTGAAAATCTCATGGCCCAGCTCCAAAGCCATCTCCTCTTGAAGGCTCCATCCAGGAAGGCACTCTTCTGCTGCGTCGTGCCTCCTGCATTCTTTGCCCTTATCACTCTTAGTCGATAGGATATTTCTTATTTATTATGGTTTCTGTGTTGTCACATGCCTACATCATTGTAAACCTTGGGGAGTCAGGTCTGTATCTCCTAAAACACCTAGACTAGGGTCTTGTACTTAGCAGATAGATAACCTTTGTTGGATAGGTGCGTGTCATCGTTGAAACCCAGAAAGCTCAGTAATTAGATAAACTCAGAGAAATGTTTTGTCTTTTCAGCAAAACCCAAAATCACATATGTAGAGAACCAGACTGCCATGGAATTGGAGGAGCAGGTCACTCTTACCTGTGAAGCCTCTGGAGACCCCATTCCCTCCATCACCTGGAGGACTTCTACCCGGAACATCAGCAGCGAAGAAAAGGTATCATGCTGCCCAGGAGTTTCAGGGCCTTGGAATGCAGACTCAAAGCAGATTGAGTCTGCTCGTGCCCAGTTTTCTTTGGTGAGCTGGGAGATGGGTTATGGTCACCAGAGGCCACAGCCAGATCCCGGGGCCTCCCTCCCTGAGCCTGCAGGACATGGCCTGCTCAGCATCCCCTTGCAATGGAATAGGCACAATTCCTTGGACAGGTTGGCGGGGGCATGATGTATGGCCATGCTCAAGTTAGATGTTCTGGGGAGGAGGCAATGGTGATTTTCAATCCCCGAGTTATGGAGCTGTGAGGGAACAAAGAGAAAGCAATGTCCTAGGTGCACCAGGTGACATTGTCATCATCTCAAGAGCACCCTAGGAGAGATCTCCCAGAAATAATCAGGCTCAAAATGAACCTATTAATTCTTTTTCTTGTGTTTGTATACTCATGCTATATATGCACTTTTGCACAAATGCTTGGTTGCCATTGTGTCTGCCTGTGTTCTTGGTCACATTTGGATATCATTTTGTTCTAAAGGCAAAAATATTTAGCAGTTTCTAAGTGATGATTACATCCTGGTTTTTCAATATATTCATGGAGGGTTTAAGAACATTGTAGCAACCTTCCTGGCAAATCAAAATGGTGGGAAAGATTGAGCTTTAAAGTCCATGGATTTATAGGCCACCAGAAAGATACTTCGTTGTTGACAATATATAAAAACTGAGGTGACCCCACATCATACAGCCCTTGATTATTGAGTGGGCCAAAAGTTGGAGGAAAAAGCTTGGTTTTAATGCAACTTAAACCCTCTTATGGTACTTCTCCAATCTCATCTCGTATATCCTGTAGAAATGGGCTCTGTTTTCGTTATCCCAGGTTTTGTCACCTATTCAGTAGTAATGGCCTTGCCTTACGGAACATTTATAATGGACTGCTTACTGATCAGAATGTCAAAAATGATAGATCTTCACTCTTCTGCCTGCCCAAAGGAAATCTCTAGAGAGAGTAAACTCAAATAAAGCCAGAAAGGGATAGTGTGAAATACCAGAGCTAAATTTGGGATTTGCATTTGAGGAGCTGATTTCTTTCCCACTAATAGAAAACAAAACTGCATCAAATGGAACAGAAATTGCTCTTCCAAATAACCTATTATTTTTTGCAACCTTTACCTCCAGAGTTAAATTCAACTTAACAAAAAGTCAACTGAGGAACTGCTAAATATTTTTGAAACTCACATATGCTGTTTGATACTGTGAAAACCAGCTAGATTAAGAGATGTGGTGTTTACTTGGATACTTTCTTTATCAACATTAGAATTAAACCCTCAGCTAAGATTTCAGCCCCACTCATGTGTGTTATGCGGATTGAATGTACATTTCAGGGCTTAAACCACAAGGCTGCTGCTTGGCAGATCTTTCTACATTAGCTTAAAAGTAGATTTTTGTCCAGAGTGACCCAGTGTATATCTTTGACCTACAGTGAAGGACAGAAATAATATCTGCCTCAGATGAATGATGCTTTTGAATTCTATATCTTTTCTAGGAATAGCTCAACAGCCAATCTAGACCAGAAGGGTTATTAAGATTTGTGCCTACTGAGGTTCTTTAGTAGGTTGGCACTTCTGGCTTGTAGCTATGATTTCATTTTTCTAGAATGAGAATAATAGCCAGGAACTAATACACATTCATACTTGCTACATATGGAGACAGGTGTCCAGCAGAGACTGTCTCAAGCCTAGTAGTGACTACTTTTTATGTAATTCTGCTATCGCTATAGATCATTTGTCTTAATCTTAGATCGTTATTTCAGTCCAGCCACATTGGTTGTATTGTATTTCTTTTACTTGCCTTCAAGTTCACTTTATTGGAACATGAGTAAATCAGTGTTAAAACAAGTCCTCCAAATCAGCTAGTGATGTGACACCGGACTGACATATTTGCCTGAGTGAAACTCTATATAAGAAAATTTGCCATTTCTGTTAATTATATATTGACATCAAAGAGGCATATTGTCCATCTTACACTGTGGATAGCTAATAATTAAGAAAACAAATATGGGCTGTTCATGACTGGTTGGAGTACAGAAAATACATTTCATTTTTACTTTGGCAGCCTCTCCTCATGTTCTCCTCCATCCGAAGTTGCATTCTATATAATTAGGAATCAAGATTACTAGCGTCGCTGTAATTGTAGGAGTGGAAAACAACCATTTTCTTTTTAAAATCAGGGTGATATGCTAAGCAAACGAGAATAGATGATTGTATCTAATTGGTCAGGTAAAGAAGCCTCCTGAGATTTAGATCACGTAAAATGCTAAAATCATAGATGTTCGGGAGGCACCTTTTGAGGTCATCCAGTCTCGCCTGGCACCCTGGCCTAGCATCCTTGCCAGGAAGCCAGTCGGTCCCTGTCTGAAACGTGATGGTATCAGTCCTCTGCAGGGGAGTTGGCCAATGCTGAAGAGCAGAATGAGCTGCTACCCTGCCCCTTCCTTTGCTTAGTCCTCCCAGCCTCTGCCACTCAGTCCTTTGCATGAGAGCCATTAAAAATTCTTTGACTTTCCTCCAGTCCACTCCTCTTACCTTGAACGCACCAGTTATTTTCACTATTTCTCATATGTCATAGTTTCCATACCTTTTATCTTTCTGGTTGTCTTATACTGCATAGTTTCAGTTCACTAGCGCTCCCCTAAAATTTTGCTGTGCTCAGCGTAATTAATGCAGACTTCAGGAGAGCCGTTGCCTCTTTGATGTGGATGCCATCATGCAGGTAAAGGAGCATTAGCTCTTAACAGTCTCCTTATTCTGTTGCCTCATATTGAGCTTGTGGTCAAGTAAAATGCTCAGGTCTTTTTTTACATGAACCCCATTTAAGCCACATATCACCTATCCTGTTCTTATGCAATTGATTGGTTAACCAATATTGCAGAATTTTATATTTATTTATGTTAAAAATTGCATTTTGTTTGTTGCAACCCAGTGCTTCTCAACAGGGTCATGGTGGCAATTTGGGAAGAGGCTTCCTTCACTGGGACTGTACTATGCATTGCAAGAAACTTAGCATTTCTAGTCCCCTTCCTGTTAAATGCCAGTAACCACCTCTAATTTTTACTAAAACTATGACACATACAAACACCTCCTGGCTTGAGAATGACTGTTTGAGTCCATCTTTGTAACCAGTCAGGACTGACTGTCATTAGAAATTCACCTTAGAAATCTGTGTGTCCGGGGCACTTCAACCCATGTGTATATTAAAAGTAAAGAAGTAGAGCAGTCAGTGGGGATCCCAGCCCAAGCATAGAGCCCAAGAGCAAAGAGCAGGCAGTTCAATAGTCTTCCAATGCAGTCGTCATCTAACATTTGTATTAGCTGTTGCTTCCAACCTTGTATGAACACTTATTTGCAATATCTTTGTCCAAGTCACGGATAGAAATGTTGGCTAAAACAAGGTCAAGTACAGAGCCCTTGGACTGCCACAATGGCTTCCTTCTGGCTCGGTGGCTGAGAAGGTAGGCCACCTGATGCCACGGTGCCACAGTGCTCTCTCATGGTTTGTATTACTTTAGTGGAAGGTTCAATGATTCCTTTAATAAAGTTAGTTACAATGTAAGTGAGTTAAAGCAGCTTTGTGTTTTGCTTCACTGCTGAGTGTAGTCTAGTATTAGTCTTCTTAAGGGAAGAGGTGGAAAAGAGGGCATTCAACCACAGACATATGGTTATTGACTTTCTAATGGAATACCAATGTTCTTGTTCATTATAAAAGAAGGGGGGAGATAAACAAAAACAAGTACAATGAGCCTGAATTCAGGTCACACTCTACCTTTGATCATGTCTCTGTATTGAGTCTAATCACTCATCTGAGAATGACCATTACCAATCAGTTAAGCTTCAGCTAGTTGAGTTGGTTTAGCTCAACAACTGATAATAGCTAGGGTACCTAATTGTTTGGGTCATCGAGATCATTAAGATAGATCAACTGTCCAAAAGTTGATGCATTACTTAGTAGTTACTATTACGTTGACCAAAAAAGTTGACCGTCATAATGGGTCAATTTGATCATCTGTATGAAAGTCATTGTGATACCTCAGAAAGCTTCTGCATCCATGTTATTTCAGTACTCATCCTGCCCAGATTCCTTTTAAATATTGCCAGGTGTTTGAGTGAGTGCTGCTAAATTCCAGGTGTCATTTACGTACTGCCTGAGACCCACAGATGATGATTTACATACTCTATCCCTGGCAGAAAAAATCCATCATATGCCTCTTTGAACATCTCTATGCCTTTGAAATGGCTGACAAAGAAAGGCCTATAAAGCCTTATTAAGGAAAGAAGAGCAGTGAAGAATTGAGATCAGAAGAGATAGGAAAAATGAAAAGCATTCCGTGAATCTTGAATCTTAGGCTAACAGAATATCCCACAAGTAAGAGAACTTTTGAAGTTCTGGATTCTTTGGAAGCTGGAATTTCCTTTTCACCAGAAAAAATTCCTCATTCAGTACAAACTCAGGGCCTGCTTTTAAACACTGGAAAAGACAACTGCATTGAGCAATCAGAGTCAGGTTTATCCAGTATGTGGGCACATGAATAATAGAATACATAAGAAAATTATAGAAATGCTTCACTTTGTTTTATATACATATTCCTACAGACTTGTGTGTAAGACAATAAAATATGAATATCGAAACAACCTAGAACAATTTTTGGAGGATTACTAATCATACCCTGATTTATTTCGTAAGTGTGTACATTTGCATATCAGGTTGTCTTAATGTGGGTCACACGTTCACCAAATGGTTAGGGCCAAGATATTTCCTATCATTCCACCAGGCACAAAAGTAAGAGGTTGTGTCACTGGAAGCTTTGTGTTACTAGCAACTACTTATTCTAAAAGCCACAGAACCATAGTGATTTGGGAGAGACACAAGAATAATCAGATTTAAAAAAACATACAACTTAATGTGATAGAGTCTCTCAAAAGAAAGATCTTGATTCCTGCAGCCCTGGCATGTAACCGACAAGCTTCTAAGTGATGTGGAATTGGCAAGCACATTTGACATGTTGGCCCACCGTTCCTTTGGTCTCTGCACGTTCCTCTGTTCTCACCTTCTTCTTCATTCCCACATCATGTGACATAACTCGATATTTCCATCTCATTTCTCACAGAAGTTCCTTGCATTTAGTGGACTCTTACTAAATGTTTGCTAACTTATTTGCATTCCCTGGATTGCGTTGCTATGATTCTGGCGTCTTTTCTATCCTTTTTCCATCTGAACATCAGAGACAATCAGGCAGTCTTGCCATGTAATAAAAAGAACAATGCAGCTGTCATATCTTTGAATCCTAGTATGAAAAACAGATAAACTGTAAGGACAATAGATTTCCAAGTGCTGGAGAAATAAAAAAATCTAGATGTGGGTGGAAAATTCCCTAACCCCTGTGTCCCTGGGTTGGCTCGCGAATGCCAACTTGTGAATGGAATGCCGTGTTTGATGAAGATGGTACATGCCGGAGCCCGCATACCATCTGGGCATTCTCTGCTGTTAAGGACCGGAGCCCTCCCACAACCACTTCCATTTGGTATCCTCAAAGCTTCCTGACTCCTGGTCTCAAGGACTTCATACTTCTCATTCCTAGTGTACCTCTCTGCTCCTTGCTTTGTTCCTTTTTGGCAATAAAAATTTGATTTTCACAGAATGCATGCAAAGAGTTATAAAATGCATGAGCATTAAATGGCATTAGTATATTTATGATAAGCTGCCTTATAAAATCCAAAGGAGGAGACCTATTCTTTTTTTTTTTTTTTGAGACAGAGTCTCGCTCCATTGCCCAGGCTGGAGTGCAGTTGCGCTATCTCGCTCACTGCAAGCTCTGCCTCCCGGGTTCACGCCATTCTCTTGCCTCAGCCTCCTGAGTAGCTGGGACTACGGGTGCCCGCCACCACGCCCGGCTAATTTTTTTATTTTTGTATTTTTAGTAGAGATGGGATTTCACCGTGTTAGCCAGGATGGTCTCGATCTCCTGACCTCGTGATCCGCCCGCCTTGGCCTCCCAAGGTGCTGGGATTACAGGCGTGAGCTACCACGCCCGGCTGGAGGAGACCTATTCTCTAAGTATCTCTAGATAATGTGGTTAGAACTCGTCATATCATGAAATACTGTGAGCAATATTTAAGGTATTTTGGAACAAGAGCAGTCTGGTCCTACTGGTATTCTTATCTAGGTATACCAAAGATTAGGAAAGCCTGAACCTTTTGAATTATACATTTTAAAGTGCCTAAGGGGGAAAAAAAGCTGGACATAAGCTAAATCCTAAATTAAATTGTGTAATAAACACACCATTGAAAGTGGGCCTTGGAAAAAGTTCTGAATTAAAGAAAAGCTGCATGTGCACGGAATGCAGTGTGATACATTCTCTAAAGCAACATGTTGTAAAATTTTACTGCTTTCTTGTTGTGTTTTATATCTTGTTCTCTCCAGGCTTCGTGGACTCGACCAGAGAAGCAAGAGGTATAGCTTGCCTGACCACTAGCCAGTCTTTAGTTTTGAAAGCATTACAGTTTAACTCACCATTGCAGTTTAATAACCAGACATGCTAAACTAATTAGTCATTTAGCTAGATTAAAGAATAGGTCGATAGTGGTAGACATTACTTAGCAATAGTATCATTTTAGGATGAGCAAGCAAGCTGTGTTGGGAGTGGATGAACAAATCCGTATTATTTCCTAAAACTGGATCTTATTCTCTTGCTGGTGCTGGTAAAATCACATCCAGGTAATTATACCGATAGAAATAAATTGCCCCCAATTCCCAGGCCAGGCATTTTGAAATGATGAAAGTTTTTTGACTCACATGGTTGATGTGGCTCTGGACCATAAAGTCGCAGAGTTAGTGATCTAAAAACCCACTCCTCCCTTTCCTTTCCAGCTCAACTCATCTTGTTGCTCACTTATTATATAATAATCAGTCTTGGTAAATTATCATGTCAAGTTTCATCTCAAAAGCAATGCAAATGACATCTCTCGTTGGTTTTCCCAAATTGCTAAACATATCTCCATTACTTTCATAGACCATTAAATGTATGAGATTAGAATGATGTAGTACAAATGGTTTTATGTTTTTTAAAGTCAGTAGTATTTAGCCTTTGAAATTTCTCTGACTCATTGCTTCAGTTTGGATAATGTGAGACTTAGTTTGAAAACTGAAGCTAAATATTAATCTTTAGACCTTGACTGCCACATCTCAAGACCCTACTTATGATCATGCCTATAATTTTTTACCTGATTTATATGAAGTGACATACAGTGAAAATAAAACCAGTAGACTTCAGATGAGATTCAAGGATCTAATCTCTAAGGACTTTTTTAAAGTAGCCTTTGCCTTTTATCCAGATGGGGCTTTGATCGTGTAATGCTATAAATGCAGAACATGATGATCCTATAGATTCTGGATTTTAATTTGGTAAATCTATCCTCTTAGTCTTTCAGAAATGATAATTATCCATAACATATAACTCATGTGTTCAGGTCAAGGCCATCCATATTGATATGCTGTTTAATATTTAAAAGTTGACTGCCTGTCCCCAGGCACTGATCTTAGTTTCTGCACATGAACAGGCTGCCATTGTCAAATTCGGTTCATTCTAAACTTCTTGTGTATAAGACCTTCCTCCTCCCTGTCACTGGGATGACTGTTAAGTGCACATCCACACTGAGATGCTTCCCGCCTGTGGCACAGGAATCACTTAGTGCTGTCACAGGTTGGGTGCTTTATTGTCCAAAAGTCATGGACCCACTGGGACTGGGGAAGAGAGAGAAGAAGGGTTAATTATCAACCACTCTTAAGCAGCTACAGATCTCATTCTGCTTGGCCTCATACAACTTTCCTTGTCATTCTCATTTAGACCTGGTTGAGGAGGAGGTGAGACTTATCAGGGAGTATTAAGGAGATGTTAAGAGAATTATTATTGTAAGTGGAAGTAATAGGTTTACTCCCAGGAAAGCAGACACCTCACTCCATTTTTCAGAAGTGTCCTTATCGTGAGTGTCTTACTTTGGACATAATTGACTTTCAAGTGGATGCTGCCCCTAGGGCTCAGAAGTTCCATTCTCTCCTGTTTGTCTCATTCGGAGATGAAGACCATAAGTCCAGATGAGTGCAAAAGAAGGCTCGGGTTATGGCCAATTTCATTTTGTAAGTTCTAAAAGCGTTAGCACTTTTACCTGGAAGGAGGGAGACAAAAACGTTTTGATGAGAAGAATAATTATCATTACTCTTCATACTTTTGGGGAAAAAAGGAGTTTTCTTGCCATCAGTATCTTTCATACTTGCCCAGAGCTCGTCTGCTCCTTCTGCTGCAGCCTGGGCGGTCAGCATGCTTTTTGTCTGGATGGCTGGTAGGTGGCACTCCCTGAAGCTGTGTAAGAGCCAGAGTAAAAGCATTTCAGGGGAAGATAGTCTAATGACACTGGAGTCTATCTTTGTATCCTCAAAGGGATAACTGGGCATCTGGCAGATAATTCCATCACCAAATCTGTAGTGAGCCTACTGCAAAATAAGAATTCTCTTTAGAAGGCTGGTCTGTGGACATCATTAAACAAGAGAAATTTCCACATGGAGAAATTTGCTGAAAGAAACTAGATAGAGATCAAAAAAAAAAAAAAAAAAAAAAGCATGGCTCTCCATGCAACTGTTTTCTAAGCTTCTCTTCAACCGTTTTCTAGATTATTCCAAGTAAAGACAAGGAATATCCCCTGCTTTGTTGTCGTTAAGGTCCTATTCTTGCCTACATTAGTTTCTCTGCCTCTTTTGTTACAACATCTCTTCCTTATGGAAATGTTCTCTTGACTTCCAGAAGAGTATGGTTCAATTTCCAAGTTTGTGTGTGGCAGCCCCAGGACAAGTCTGGTCTGTGTCACAAAGAATTTTAGTTCAGTTGCTGGTTGATATCACAGAGATCACCAGAAAGGCCAGGGGTTGTCCTTAAGTTCCCTCTGCCTTCAGTCCTGCTTTGTTTGGACAAGTAGGAGAGACAAGCAGGTCAGCACAGCCCTTTAGAGATACCTGCAGGGATGGCCTCATGCTCTCAAGGCCACTATTCTAGACTCACAGGTAAAGACTTGTGTGTATGACGTATGAAAATAGCCCTGGAATGTATCAGCATTGTCACCCCTCAAAACTCCAGTATCCCCAACAAACTGGGTGTCACGAGGCTTTCTAGCGAAGTGCTCCACACCTGTTTGTTGTCATCTCTCATTAATGTGTGGCATCTCCTGGGATGCATCTTTCAACCAACCAGTGTCCCAGATTTGTAGGTCAAAGCAGAGCAACAGGGAACTCATCCCAGGGAGGAATGGCACTCGCAGCAGTAGGCAGTCATGACTTTGCTTGGCTCTTCTGTCTTCTTGCTAGAGTTGTTTTTCAGCTTCCAGACATGAAATGCGAGGGGCTGAGATGACCAGAATAGACTAGATCTGTCAGTGGTGGTCCAAGGGACTTCTCGTGGTAAATCTGCTGAGACTGCTGAACAAGGCCAGTGATGCCTTTCTTGTGAGCTTCCTACTCTGGCTGCTGTATGACATTGCAGTTCTGGGCTTCAGAGCCCCACATCGGCGTATCCAAAGAACCTGAAGCCAATGGTTCTGTCATTCTTTAAAGACCCAATGCATGGGATGGCAGATGCCAGGTACAGAATATAACCTCCTGTCCATCCCCACAGAACATCATATACTGGAGACAAGAGGGCCCAGCCCGCACAGAACAAGACCTTTTCTCCAGATCACTAACTTTCCTGAGAATCTGAAGTTAGGCCACATGCGTAGACTCTTCCTGGGCCAGCAACCATTTCACTTAGAATGTCAAGGGGAAAATCCGCTTGGAAATACTCCAGTACCCATTGCCTAAGGACCATGTACTGATTCTCTTTTTGACCAATCATTATAATTCCAGAGATTTAGGAAGCCCATTGCTGTATCAAGGACTATAAAATGGTGGTGGCCGAGGTGTCAAGGATCTCAGACCTGCCTAGGACTCTCTGTACCACTGTCCCTGGAGAGAGAACCCAGTTACTCTCCCTTCCAGTGCGGTGGCTCCTGATCTTTGAGTTGTTTGGCTTGTTTTTACATGGGATTATTTCACTTTTAAGCATCCAGGAAAGAAGCATCTGCAGAAATAAGGATTTCTTTAATAATTTCTTATGTTGGGCACTTGGAATGTCCTGCTATGGGTACATGCACCGTGGAACTGGCAAGTGGACAGACAGAAAGGACAGGGTGGCAATGCAGTTTTCCCAGCATCTCATGAGGTAGGGCTGCTGCTGCTGCTGCTGCAGTATCTGCTGGCTGGAGGCTTTGCTTCCATTTTAGACATCCCAAACAAAGTCATCTTGGGGAACCTAGCCCCAAACCAATCTTGGCACTTAGATCAGGCTGCCTGACATAACTGAGTCTCATTTTCTGTTTCGGATACTCCCAAGTTCTCATGCTGCTTCCCAGAGCCTCCCCCATTAGATGGTACCTAAAGTAAGAAAGCCATTGACACAGAGAGGAGAGAGGAAGAGAGACGGGTCACAGACAAGCAATGGCCTAGTCTCCTAGACCCCATCCTGCTATAGCACTCTTGCCCTCCGCTCTGCCTCGGGCTCTGACATGTTGCCTTTCCCCCCGGCAGACTCTGGATGGGCATATGGTGGTGCGCAGCCATGCCCGTGTGTCGTCGCTGACCCTGAAGAGCATCCAGTACACTGACGCCGGAGAGTACATCTGCACCGCCAGCAACACCATCGGCCAGGACTCCCAGTCCATGTACCTTGAAGTGCAATGTGAGGAATAAATGGGGAAGGATGTGGGAGGGGAGGGGCAAGGTAGGATCAGGATGAGAGAGGAAAACAGCAGCAAGGACCTACCTGCACCCTATGAGTTCTGCTCACGTTCCCTGCAGCTGGCTCTGGGCCATTCAGAGCTCTGTTCCCAAGCCACCCCCTACACACCATCTCCAGGCTTCTTACAATCCTGCTGTGCCCTTGAGTCTTCCCATGCTGTACACAGGAATTCTAAAACGGCCCTGACCTCTGCTATACCAGGCACTAGCTCTGCTTTGGGGCACACCTGCCTTCCCAGTGCCAGGAGACAGGATATGGGGGCTTCATGATCGTGGCAGTGATCCTGAGAGTCATTGTTATTTATTGCAGATGCCCCGAAGCTACAGGGCCCTGTGGCTGTGTACACTTGGGAGGGGAACCAGGTGAACATCACCTGCGAGGTATTTGCCTATCCCAGTGCCACGATCTCATGGTTTCGGGATGGGCAGCTGCTGCCAAGCTCCAACTACAGCAATATCAAGATCTACAACACCCCCTCTGCCAGCTATCTGGAGGTGAGTCAGGATGGGGGTGGGGCAGAGCAGAGAAAGCACAGTTTACTCTAGATGGGCTCTAAAATGCAGCTCAAGTCCTCTCTCCTACTTCTCTGACATGGGCTAGAGAAGACACTGGGCCTCTTTTCAGCTCCCCTTCACCCACTCTACCAGTCCCCTCCCTGAATGTGCCTCTCCCATGAACCCCTCTGCTATTCTTTTCTCTTGTTTAAGGCTGGGCTGGAGCTAATGATTTGTACTTTACTAGTTCTGTTTTTTACTCACTTAATCCAGTAAATAAAGATCTGAGTCTGTGACCATCCCATGGAACACTTGTAACCCAAGAGCTTCTTCTTCTAAAGGTGACCCCGGACTCTGAAAATGATTTTGGAAACTACAACTGTACTGCAGTGAACCGCATTGGGCAGGAGTCCTTGGAATTCATCCTTGTTCAAGCAGGTGAGTGTCCCTTACGGCAGCTGCCACAACCCCCCACCTACCCCTGCCAGTCCAATTTGTGTACTTGAGTGATTCCAGGATATTGGGAAGAAGAAAGGGCCAGGGTCAGCAAACCCAGAGGGTTGGGAAGCTGGGAGTCATTGGATCTGCGCATAGGACATGTTGGGGGAGAAGCATCTGGTGACATGGGCCAGGAGGACAGGATACAGTGACAGGATTCCCAAGAGTGAGCAGAAATGAAAGAGATGTGCCTTGTGACTGGGAGTTAATGGTCTTGGGCCAAACTGGGCTCACCTGGGTCTCCATATGTGTCTTCCCCACAGACACTCCCTCTTCACCATCCATCGACCAGGTGGAGCCATACTCCAGCACAGCCCAGGTGCAGTTTGATGAACCAGAGGCCACAGGTGGGGTGCCCATCCTCAAATACAAAGCTGAGTGGAGAGCAGTGGGTGAAGAAGTATGGCATTCCAAGTGGTATGACGCCAAGGAAGGTGAGTTGGGGGAGTCGGTGTTTCCATTGGGATCACGAGTGCCTTGGTACTCAGATGTCCCCACCTGCCATCCTATACATGTTCCTACAGAATTAGGAACTGCACCTCCAGAATTAGGTCAAAGTCACATCTGCCTGTAGAGTTGTTGCCCCTATTGCCACCTCAACCCACGCTCTGTGCTTCAGAGCCTGGTTCTCACGACCCTTCCAGGATGGATGAAGGCATCTCTACCACATTCCAGACAGGAGCCTTGCGTAGGTTCTGAGCACAGCCAGATGAGTCCAGTGCATAGGTTCTGAACGTGGCCAGTTGAGTCCAATCCACCCTACTCTGCACGTTTGAGTTACCTGTGCTGCAGGTTCTCTGCCGACACCCGGCCAGTCCTGCTTGGATACCTGTACTCAGGGACTGACCGTCTTGTAATTGTGATAGTAACCAAATAAGCGCAGCCAGCAGGACAAGTCTGCCCTTAAATCAGTCCTGTGCTAGCTTTCCAAGCTCAGGATTAAAAGACTGAAGATTCTTGTGAAAATTCTGAGCCTAGGTCGTCTGAGGATGGTGTGTGCTTATGTTGGACTCCCCCTTTTGGGTTTAATTGGAATAACTCAGTGAAGTATGTTTTGTTTCTGTACAAATTTTTAATCCTGGTCTCATATGTGGTAATTGGAGTGGAATTGGGAGTGGGCTAGGATACCAGTATCACGGCCATTCAGAGATATAGTCCAATGCAGTTTTATTCAGAATTAGTTCTGCCAGAAAGCTTCCATCACTCCTTCAGCTTCTGGGGGGAGCCAGGGGGCCAAGAGGAGCTGCTGGGTAATCAGGATTGGAGCCAGAAGAAAGCAATCACTTTACCTTCCTAACTTCCCTCTGAAATCTCATACCAATTTTGTGGCAGGTTGATCTCATGTCACTATCTGTCCACCAGATTTTTTTTTTAAAGATCAATTCTAGTTATTTTTATTAATATAAAATATAACATATATTTTACATTCCATCATTTTTAAGTGTACAATTCAGTGGCATTAAGTCGTAACCATCACCACCATCCATCTCCACAACTTTTTATCATCCCAAACTGAAACTCTGTACCCATTAAACACTAATTCTTCATTCGCTACCTCTCCCTAGCCCCTGGCAACCACCATTCTTTCTGTCTCTATGTAGCTGGCTATTCTAAGTACCTCATATAAGTGGGCTCATATGGCATTTGTCCTTTTATGGCTAGCTTATTTTATTTCACTTAGCAAATATTTTCAAGGTTCATCCATGTTGTAGCATGTGTCAGAATTTCCTTCCTGTTTAAGGTGGAATAACATTCCATTGTATGTATATGCCACATTTCATGTATCCATTCATCAGTCAATGATCATTGGGGTTGTGTCTGCCTTTTGGCTATTGTGAATGATGCTGCTGTGAACATGGATAGCCAGTTATCGGTATCTGTTTGGTCCCGACTTTCAATTCTATGCATATGCCCAGAAATAAAATTGCTGGACCAAATGATAAATCTATAGTTAATTTTTTGAGGACCCTCGCTGCTGTTTTCCAGAGTGGCTGCACTATTTTAACAGCAGACTTTCACTCTTCTGTCATCCTTCCCATATTCTCATAACAGCCAGCATGGAGGGCATCGTCACCATTGTGGGCCTGAAGCCCGAAACAACGTACGCCGTAAGGCTGGCGGCACTCAATGGCAAGGGGCTGGGTGAGATCAGCGCGGCCTCCGAGTTCAAGACGCAGCCAGTCCGTAAGTAAAGCCAGCTGCCCACCTTTTCCCAGCCCACCCTCTTCTCCCTGGGGGCAGCGGGGGACCCTGAGCTGGCCCATGTCATTGTTCAGACCACAGCTTTTTGTCTTTCAGATCCCTCTGCTCCTGGAGGCCTCACCTCCTAGTTCTCTGGTTCTCAGTGACAGCTAACACACAGTCCCTTCATTCTCTCTCTCTCCAAGGGGTTGGGGACACTGTCATAGTAGCCAGTCCAGCTCATTAGAAACAGCCGCGGGGAGGGCACCAACACGTTATTAAAGGAAGTGGGGAGAAAGCCAGGAGTGGATCGTCAAAGGATCTGGGAGAGTTGCTTTTTGACAGGCCACAAAAGCCCTAAGCACCCGGTGACTTGGAGGACAAGGGTATAGATGGTGACAGTTCACATAATGCATTGTGAGATTGTTGATGCAGCAGAGGTATTCAGTCAGAGACAAATGGAAACTGCTAGAGAATATGTGAGCAGTAGCAGAAACCCAGCAAAGCCAAGGGGAAGAGGTAGCCCTGGCCTTGGCCTTTTCTGCTCCTCTCCCTCCCATAGCAAGAGCATTCCCCATGGCCTCTTTCAAGAGAATTGCTTCCCCCTCATTCCACTCAGGGATGGATCTCTAGGTTTTCCTCTGCCATTCCCTCTTTCTTTAAACTACGCCTGTCCCACTGTGCCCTCCCTTCCCACCAGCAGCCAGGCCCCGGGCAAGCCCTGCTCCCGTCATACCCCTCTGCAGGCAGAGATTCTGCCCTGGGAAGCTCCTGAGTCCACCCAGCTAAAGAAGATACCGTAGAGCTAAATTCCTGAGTGTTCACAGAGTTCCCTGGGCTCTCTGACCCCTGGATTTAAAATGCTCCTGGGAGAATCCTTTGCTTCCTTCTCTTTGAAGCCAGGGGCCTGCAAAGGGACCCACTACCCTTACCTCTTCCCAGAAATCGGAAAGCCTGTCTCATCTTCCGTCTACAGGAATGGCTTCTTTCTCTGGATTTGAAGTAATTTGATAATTTGAGTTTCCAGCTCCGTGTGCTCTGCGGATTCTATTCATTATCTTTTACATCTTTTTTTTTTTTTTCTTGGGTCTGTCTCTTGTCTTTTCTTTTCGTCTGTGTTCCATCCATGGGAAATGCAGATAGCCCTCCTCCACGTAAGTGCCTCTTCATACCTCATTACCTGTTTCCATAGCGTTAACATCTGCTAGTTCTAGTTCTTAATTTAGTTCTGGTCCCTTTTTTGTCCCCTAGAGGCTGAAGTAGATGATATTGTCTGGGCCCTAACCACACTGACCTTAGTCTAGTTGTGCTGTTGTTAACGTCTGTAGGTTACTCCAAGAGGCTAACACTCTTCCTGTTTTAGAGCATGCAACTTCTGTGTCTTTGGAAATTGTGCTTATTTATTAATTTTTGTGTGTGATGATTACCCCACGGCAAAGATGATGTTTGCTGAGCCAAGCATGGTGGAAGTCTGCAGATGAGCCCCGAATAACACGCTATAGCCCCACCTCACCTGCAGCCAGGATGCCGGGAAAGTGACCACAGCCCCACCAGGTCACTATTCAAAATACCTTGAAGGAAAAAAAACCTGAAAGGATTTTCATATTTGCTTTTAGGAGATAAAGGAATTGAGCTCAGTTGCTTCCTTGCTTTTTGTCTGTCAGCTTGGTAGCTGGAGAGGAATAGGAGGATGGTCAGGGAGGCTCCTACAGCAGCTGCCATAGTCAAAACATAGCATGAACTTTGGTTCTGAGCCATGGGCATGTCCCGCAGGCATCTGTTGCAGAGTTAAGTCTCTAGTTCCGGTCAGCTCTGTTCTTTAGCGTGTAGTTACTTGCAGTGTGCATCTCCTTGTTTGGGGAAGACTAACCAGCTAATGTAGGAGCTCTTCTGCCATGCATGGTAGGGAAGGGGAGATTCCTCACTGGAAGGACACCCTAATCACGGAAGCTGTACATAGAGGACACAGGGAACAAGGGTAACAGAGAGATGAAGTGTGGTTTGACCCCGTCAGCCTGCAGAGATGCCCCTAAACTTCCCTTCTCCTGAGATTTGGCTCTTCCTAGGCTGAACCAGAATAGCGGAGGGAGGTGTTACCCACACAGACACCGAAGAAAAAGTATTCAGGAAGCTGTACAGTCTTTTCAGAAAATGACTCCCTGCACCTGAAAGGTACCCAAGGAAGCTTATCTTTTCTAACATTATTCAGAAATATCGCAGCAACAGCAAAAACTAAGTAGCTACATGTAGGCGTTCTGAGATTTTGAGCAAGTGCCAAATCCACCCTCAGCAGAGTTGGTGCCAGGATGAACCAGCTCTCGAAGGCATCAGAGTTGAGGGATGGAGCCATCAGGCCGGACTGACAAGTACCTGCTCTGGGCGTGCAGCTGCTGTGCCCTAAGCAAGTTTGGGAGGAGTCACTCTGAGCATGAGAGAACCTTCCTTCTGGATCTTCCTCTGATCTTTAACTCATGGTTCAACTGAGTCTCCAGGTTTCCTCTGGTCTGGATTTGATCAGTAAATGAATGCTGGCTTAGTTACATTAAAGAGAGGAAGGCTGGGATGAGGCTCCCCTCTGCGTTTCTAACCAGTAACTGGAGTTTGAGTACTGAATCAGAGTAACTGGGTCTTGGACTTCAAAGGCCACAGTGGTTTTCATGCATTGCCAGCTCAGTTCTTGCAAAGGTGAGATTTTATATATGTATAAATATATATATAGCAGAAGCTATATTTTAAAGCCAATGTTAAAAATGAAATTCTTAGTGAAATTTTAACTTTAAATTAAAATTTTTAACTACAAAAAAGAGGTCTCCGGACCTTGTTGTTTATTGTCTGATAGTATCAAAATGGATAAGTAACCACGACTCAGAGAAGCCCTTTGGAAAAGGGTGGTGTCATCTCTGCATTCCAAGTAGGTCGTGAATGCTACAACAGCAGGCATTGTTAGTGGTACAAAAAGTCAGTTTTTCTCAATCATATAATAAAGTTAAGGTCTGAAGAATCAAAAGGCAAACTTCTTTTAGATAAGTAGAACCATGGCATATTCTTAGAATTGAGCATGCCTTTTGCAAGAACTTTAGCAGGATGAGGCAGTGAACATATGGGAACATCATATTATCACCAAAGATGACTTATTATGGTCTTTCTTTGTGCCCTGATAACCTTCCCAGAGTTACTGAAGTGAGGACTTAGCCCACAGAGTATCCTGCTACCCCTAGACCCATCCTGAAAACAGATATCATTGGGAGGATGCTGCCAGCAGTTACCACTGTTATGATAAACCCACCCTTTTGCTGCTAGGAACTGAGGAACGAGACTTAGGAAGGACCTTCTCTGAATTCTTACTCCCATTTCTTGGAAGACACAAAGGTTGTCTGAATTTAGGTAAACAGAATCAACCACCAGTTTAGCTGTGTGCTTGCACTGAGCCCAAGAACCAGTGGCATTGGTTTCTGATGCCAGCTCACAGCACCGCTGACACTGCACCCCTGTCCTGTAATACTGTTGGGATGTAGATGCACAGCAGGATCCCATACCACTGGAGTTGTGCCCTGGTTACACCCCAAGCCCTAGGGAAGAGAAGGCACAGAGTCAGCGGAGGCCAGTGTGCTGCACAGGGAGGTGTTGCTGCTGGACTCCTGGACTGCCAGGTGTCAGGTGAGACCAGCGCATTTGGCACCAGTCTCATCACTTGAAGTTTGTTGAGATGTCTCAATAATGGGATTACTTTCTTGGTTCTTTAATAGACCGCTCCGTGTTTAGAGCCATGGATACGTCAAAGCAGGGATGAGCGGGGGAGCTAGTAAAAGCCACAAATTCTTGTGCTTTCAAGCTGCCAGTTAGTAAGCATGGCTTACCTGTTTGGAGGTTCCTTTGTTTGTAGTTCATGAATGTGCATGAAGGTCATGAGGAAACTGTGACTCCAAACAAACAAATAAAACTCTAACCTGGGAGAATGTGCGTATTTCATGTTATTTTTTAAGCCAAATGTCTGCATGCCATCAAGACACTCAGGAGGAAAGCTCACAACCTCTGTTTGCCTTGCGAGGGGCTGCTTCTGTGAGACTCCTTACAACTCGCTGTGAATCCTCCCCTCCATGACTGAGCTACCCACCTTTATAATTTCATTGCCCAAACAATGCATCTTAATTTGCTTCTGTACCATGAAGCGAAATAGACAATTTCTTTTAGAATATAGAGATTATGAATGAGTCTCTACTTTTTAAAAGAGGCATCTTGAGATTTTTGTTTTCACATGTTGTCCCCCAGGTGGCGCACTGCAAGTATAAGTTAAACGGATTGTCATATATGTGGTTAAAGCACGTAAAATTCCATCCCTTTGCCAGAATAATATGGACAACTATGCAAACAATTCAAGCCAAACAAAGAAAAGAGAGGGAAGGAGACCATCTAATAATGATGAGTTACGATTCTTTGTTGCTTTGATTCCAGTGACACTGTACTCATGGTTTAATGAGATGCCCTCATATGGAAGGTCAAGGAAGACAAAACCATGAGTATTAGATATTAAGGCAGTGTCGGAGATGCGCTGAGGTTTTTCCAAATTTTCATCTAGCTCTCGAAGGGGACTTGTTTTGTGACTGTTGATGGGACTACTTCCAAATATTTGCCAATGAAAAACCAAAGATCCATTCAGTGTCCCAGTATCTCAGATGCACAAACAACCATCCTCTACACAGAAGATTGGCTAGAATTTCAGTCCCAGTCTCTTCAACATTTCTGTTCTCTGGAGGAGTGAGAATAATCCTGAATATTATTTGCATGGCTCTTCTGTAGCAGCCTCCAAATAACCACATTCTATAGGGGAGTTTTTGGAAGGCAGCAGTGGTTGCAGCATCATCTGTATGATAAAGGATCATGAACTTCACCCAGTAGTACACATTAGGTAGGACAGCCATTCCTGTTTCATTCAATCAGATGTTGAAATGAGTGAGGCATATAGGTTTTGCTATAAATAAAGTCATATATGGAAATATATACCTATATAGAAACACATATATAGATGTGTAACATGAAAAGCCAATGTCTATTTTCTCCTTCACTGGTTCACCTTAAACTGAGGTCCAAATTCCCTTTCCTCCTATACCTCTGGTCCTATGGAGACAGCTGGTCCTGCTGAACTGGATATTTGTTTTCAGTCAAGGTTTGAGGCTTGTGCAGCTGTTCCTGGGCCAGACTTTACCTGAACTGCAGGGTTTGGCAGGTGCATAGCCTCAAGGTTTGAAGTTAGAGAGAGCCCTGCTCCTCGCTGGTGCCCTGGCCACCTGTTCAAACACAGTGTTGTTCTTCCCACTGTAACTTGCTTCAGCTCCTCATACTGACGCCCTAGGGTAGTTGCTTCCGTTTTTTTTCATTCAGTATCTGTGTACCTCAATGATCTTTTTTCCCCACCTTCATTTTTCTTTCTTCAGCGGCATCTGCTAGCTCGTCTACCCCTGTTCCATTGTCTCCACCAGATAGTGAGTATCATTTTCTTCATCCATCTCTCTGCAGGTCGCTTTCCAGCAGCCACAGTTTGTTCTGCCTAATGTTATCTCCTTCACCAGGTGATAATTCAACTCAGTTGGCGGAAAGCAGCGTCGGGTTTTAGAGAAGCAGATGAGAAGAGAAACAGGCATAGGGCTTCTCAGATCCATGAGGGGCAGCCTTCCCTGAAGGAGAGGCGAGGGAAAAGCATTGCTCTGGATAGAAACCCCTGCAGGCAGGATCCCCAAGGCAGCTTCCCTGGGGTCACCCCTGTCCTCAGGATTCTGAGTGGGCTGGATCAAAACTCGTATTTGGAGAAGCCAAAGGAATTGACCAAGAAAAATGTCTCCTCTGCAGGGTCATAGAAAATGTGTTGGAGTGTTTTGTTTTTACCCTTCATTTTAATTGGCACAGTTGGATACAGACATTGAAATTAGATAGGGAGGCCTGTAGCTTTCGCTTTATCCATAAATGCATACTTTTCTTGTAAATATTTGTGGGAAAATAAACAGTGTCTGGCAGATGTGCCTGGCAGTAGGCGCTCAGTCAAATCGTTTAACCCTTCACAAGTGAGCCTTGTTTATCTCCTCTGTAAAATAGGATGCGTAGTCACCCACGTCCTGCCGCCCTAAAGAAAATCGCAAACATTTTAATGTTTATCAAGCTCTGCTTTACCCACCTGGGATCATTACCACCGAGCCAGCAGTAATGTCAACGGGTCGCTCTCAGGTTTCGTCATCCTGGCTAAGCCTTGCTCATTTCCGATCTAATGAATGTTGCTATCCTGTCCTTTTGTTCTTCTGAATGTGCAGGAGTAGAAGGGGCTCCAGGCTTGCCACTGTTTGGAGTTTTGAACCTAGCTTTCCAGGGAGGAATAGCAAAGTAAGACCACAGCTCAGTAAGACACAGGATGCAAAGCCAGCGTCTGCCCAGAGTGGCAGACAGCAGCAAATGGGCAGGCAGGGTGGCGCCACCTGGCTGGCTTTATTCTCCTTGATATATCAGAAGCCCCTGCAGTTTGAGCTCAGACTCAGGAGGTGACTCAAGCCTCAGGCTCAGAAGCCCTCTGTCACCATCTGTTGACTCAGAAGCATGCCCACCGCCCCATGCAGTGCTTTTCCAGGCACTGTCCTGTAGCAGACGGAGTTCAGGCTTTGGAAGTAGACAGACCTGGGTTCAAATCACAGCTCCACTACTTCCGCCTGAAGCTCCATGACATAGGATAAGTCACTAAACCTCCCCAAGTCTCAGATTTCTTACCTCTAAGGTGAAGAATGGATTCCACTTACCTTTTAAGTGTGAGAATTAAAGATTAAGAGTGAAGAACACAAAACATACTGCTCAGAATTTAGCAACTGGAATTAATAGTCAGAATAAATGAGAGTTATGTTATCTCTTGCTGCGTGAGAGCCATTTGTCAGCAAAATCTCTGATCATCTCTTTTAAATAAGTATATTAAGGTATTTTCAATATGTATATTAAGGCCCAGCATGGCGTCTCAGGCCTGTAATCCCAGCACTTTGAGAGGGCCAGGGGCTGGATTGCTTGAGGCCAGGAGTTCAAGACCAGTCTGGGCAACATGGTGAAACCTTGTCTCTACTAAAAATATAAAAATTAGCCAGGCATGGTGGCATGCACCTGTAATCCCAGTTACTTGGGAGGCTGAGGCAGGAGAATCGCTTGAACCTGGGAGATGGAGGTTGTAGTGAGATGAGATCGCACCATTGCACTCCAACCTGGGTGACAGAGCAAGACTCCATCTCAAAATAATAAATAGATAAATAAATATGTATATTAATATTGATAACTCAGAGAAGAGAGTGAGAGAATACCTCCTTCACCATCTTTATAATGATGCCTACATATATATAATATATACACACCCATGTATATATACATATATAGCTATGAGTTTAATTTATCTCCATTCTCTCCTTCACCTTTCTGTGCCTTTTCTGTCTGTCATGTTTCCATAGCAACCTGGCCTCTTCCTGCCCTTGCAACCACAGAACCAGCTAGTGAGTACAGGGCTGAGCTGCTCCAGCCAGACCTCTGATCGCTTGTTGTAGAGCCGACTTCTAGGTTACAGCGCTGCCTGTTGTTTTCCCTTTTATTAAAAGCAACAGTTGTGAATGCATGAAGGCTCCTAGCCTGGTGTGGTTTCCTAAGCATGCTGTCTGCTTGGCCAAGAGAGCAAACCAAGCATCAGCAAAAGAACGGGGGTGATTATTGGAAGAATACTCCGTGCATGAGGAGGCCTTTCCAAATCGACTCTCTAGTTAAAAATAGACAAGAATTAGGGAAACGCTGAGGACACAAAAGAACAGCATCTCCTTCCTGGCTTTCGCTTTACTGTCCCTCCTTCTGAAATACACACGCTCATGTGCGTGTTAATTTAGCAGTAGAAAAAAGACTGAGAACCAGGGAAGGAATAGGAGAAAATGGCTGCTTGGGGAAAGGGAGAGGGTGATGCCGAGAAGGAAGGAGCCGCTGCTTCCTGACAGCATGCCTGGCTTTGTCTCCCTGTATGCAGAGCACAGGGAAAGGAGAGAGCTCCTTCCTGCTGTCTCCTTTCAGGCTCCTGCCTCAGTGCTAGAAAAATGATGGGCAGAAAAAGCCTAATCCAGGCTCCCCCTGGGTTGAGAGTCCAGATGAAAGTGCTGGAATTTATCTCTTGACAATAAAGTCAAGAGCCAGACTGTATCCTCTTTTTTTCAATGTAGAAAACATTGCACAGAATCGCTGCTGTAACATGTTCCAAACTGGTCTTTATAATGCTCTAATGAAGTAAGATGTGTGTGGAGGACTTGAATCCCCTGGAGAATCCATATGAGTATGTGTGCATGTTTGTAGTGTTCAAGCATCGAAGCTGTGTGGGAGTTTTAGATTTTATAATATTTCTGGTTGCACAGAAAAAAAATGGCATACATCCCATCAAGCAGAACGAGAAGGCAGAAAGCAGGTATGCAAAGTATAACTCCAGCTCCCAGGGCCAAGCTTTCCAATACATAATTGAACAGAGAAGAAAAGAGTTTCCTGGTTCTGTGTGTTGCATGAAATGGTTCTTTTTTTTCTACTGCAGAACACAGCTCAGGGTCTGCTTTCTTGGTGTTCCTTCCGTGTGTGTGCTGTGATGAATTTTAATTCCTGATGCTTTTAAGGTTTCATTTTGTCAGCAGAGCAGAGCCGATGACAATAGGCTGTGCTCGCATGGGTTTAATTCAGAATATGAGTTTTTTTTTTTTTTTTTTACATTTGGAAAAGGAATGCAGCTAACAGCCTCCTTTCTTATTCTACAGTGTCACTCCTGTCCTTTTTCAGCCTGGTGCAATGTGTGTCCAGGCACAGTACGAGAAAGCTACGTAACGTATTTGCACAACTGTGTCGCATTTAAGGTGACTCACTGTAGGTTGGTCCTCTCTGTTAGTGAAACACAATCTTGGCTCCAGATTTTGCCTGAAGAAGGAATTAGGTGTCTCTCCCCTGACATGTCTTTAATTTTTAAACATCAGACATTTCTGCCCACAGATAAAATGCTTAGTTGTGACATCCAAAGGGAAGAAAGTTTGAGTCATTTTATTTTGAACCACTTGACTACTGACCCAAATTGTAGGTCCCAGTGGATACTGAGATAAAGGGAAGATGTTCACAATTGGGCAGCAGCCTGAGTTTAGCATGAACATATTTCTCACCAGTAAGTGAAATGTAGCACATGTGAATTGCAGTGGAACTAATAGCAGAGTAGCTATCAGCATGTGAATATCCATCGATCATCAATCCATCAATGGGGTTGAAAATAAATATCTCCCAGTTTTGCCTGTGTGTGTGTGTGTGTGTGTACCCATTTATAATTATGAGGGAATAAAGATATTCTAAATAAAACCAAAGGAGCAATTGCTTAGTTGTATATAGTCCCTGAAAGTCCCCTTTGGCAGGAAGGTACCGGAATCTGTGTAATGCCAGACAATAAGAAAGAAGCATACATTCTATCAGCTCACAGTGGCAAGGGAAGAGGTAGCCTGGTTAAAGCATTTCTCTCGGGTTATTTTTAACCAGCAGTGTTCTTTACACAGAAAGGTGTCTTCATCTGCCTTCTTTGCCCTTCTCCCTCAGCCTCAATTGGCAATGGCCAAAACATCCCCTGGCCTCTTAAATTTAAGGTCAGAAACCCAAAATGCCTTTTAACAAGTCAAGATCACTCAGTCACAACATAGGACCAAAAGGAATGCTTTTACATCTACACAAGAAAAGTGTTTTTTTTTTTCATTGTAAATCTCAAATTTATGTCTTAGTGCAACCACAAGTCTAAAGATACAACTTTAACCACAACAGGTTGGGTGCCGTGGCTCAAGCCTGTAATCCCAGCACTTTGGAAGGCTGAGGTAGAAGGATCCCTTGAGCCCAGCCTGGCCAACATGGTGAAACCCCCATCTCTACAAAAAATAGAAAAATTAGCTGTGCGTAGTGGCACACGCCCGTGGTCCCAGCTATTCAGGAGGCTGAGGCAGAAAGATTCCTTGAGCCTGAGAGGTCGAGACTGGAGTGAGCTATCTTCACGCCACTGCACTGCAGCCTGGGTGATGAGACGAGACCCTGTTTCAAAACAAACAAAAAACTTTAACCACAAATGGCCAAACATTTGCTTAATGTCAAACTCTCAGCGCATTAGGCCAAAGGTACAGTTTCTGCTGTTTAGTGTCAGCACAGCCATTGTCTCAACCATCAGAAGGAAACCTATTCCCTAGTCTGCGCTGGCCTCTTCCTTTATATGGGTCTTGACTTTAGGGAGGCTCACCGAGGTCTCAGGAATAATACGGGTTTGTGGAGAAAGAAGTGAGATAAGATTATCAAAGCCACCATCTCTGGCATGCATCCACCCAGCCTCATTCAGCCCATGCTCCCCTCTTCCTTATGCCACAGGAAACATGAAATGACGCTTTTTGATTTAATACAATCTTTTGTTCTTCTAGGGCACACAGCCTTCACCTTAAGATTCTCAGGACTTTTCCTTGATGACCCATATTCTGTTTCATTGCCCTTGTTTCCCAAGGATGCTGAGACATTTCTGGAATCTGTGGATAATAACTTGCTTTTTTCTTTTCCTTTAACAGTCTCCTGGATTGACTTTGGCATCTGGTTCCCGACAGCAACACCTCCCCATTTCAAAACAAGTTTACATGCTCCTGATGTGGTATTAATATGTAGTGTTGCAGCCGTAGCTAATGCTTATTGGTGTTGTTAACCAAATGCTCTTTATGATTTATTATCCTGTTTCTGGGCAGTTTTGCTGCCCTCCCAATGTTTCCTATATATGCTGCTAATTTAATTTAATTTCTCCTTTTATTTAGTCTGTGATTTTGTTGTTGATTTTTCTCCCTGCCCATTGTTTACATCAGTTTTTAATTTTTTTGTATTTTCCATGTGACCTCCTCCACTTTCCTTTCAACCAATCATGTGCGTGCGTATCATGTGACTTTGTCATGTGGCTTGCATGGTGCTGATGATGTCGTCCACGCTGGTGAACAGAAGGTAAAACTCTTTGTTCTGATTAGTGAAATAAATCTGGGACCACAGCCTGGCACGTAGGGCACACCCATTTCTTCCTGTCTCAGATTTCCGAAGCAAAGCCATTTGAGAGATTCCCTCTTGTTCTCAATTCACATCCAGAATTCATCATTCCTTGCAAACTTGACATGACAATTTGATATCACAACAACCTTTGGTTTGGTATTTTGCTTCAAGAAATTTGGTCACACAAACTGTTCTCTACAGTCAACCCACATTAGCCACAGCACAGTTTGCAAACTGAATTTTTACCAGATGGTTCATAAAAATTATTTCCCAGAAAGGTGTCTGGCAAATTAGCTTTATAGCATTGTTGTTTAACTTTATCCGGTAGTTCTAAAGACCATAGTTGTTCTAAAATGAGTCACATTCCTGTGAAAATGTTTACAACCTTGAAATGCTACAGAGTGAAATATATCAATTGCAAAGGTTGTATTTGTTCAAAACCCAATGAGAGTGCTTCATAAAATTCATGCACATTGAGGACTTTCTGAAATAAGAGATTTAAGAATTCGGATTAGAGCAGTTTGGCTGTGATTACCGAGGTGTCACTTTTTAAGAGTGGCCCTCCCCCAGGGAGGGGGAGAAAATCAAAGCAAAAGTCACTTGATAATTACCATGACTGGAGATCTCCGTATAATCAAGAAACACATGATTGACCCTTGCAGCAAAGGAAATAAAATTATAGCCTAATTAAGTGCATAGCAATGACAAAATAATTAGTTAATATTGTGACTGTCACAACCTCATTAAAACATTTCTCGCTTACCAGAAAGAGAGAAGGAAGCCTCTGCTCACAGCTTCCCTCACTAAAATCAAACACCTATTCAGAACCTGCCCTTTGAGTCATATGCATTCAGTTTTCTCCTAACTGAAATGTTTTACTTCAAATCACACCCTGAGACATGGGCTACATGGATCACGAAAGCAAAACTAACACCAGTAACCCCCGGTGTGCCCATGCATGCAAGGGGTCCCTGTTTGACCTCACTTCTCTGAGAACTGATTGGGCGACATCCACACAGACAAAACCGTCAACAGCTGGTCTCGCATGTCCTTTGTTCCTGGTCTGTTCTTGTGTTTCGTTCTCCTCCTGTGTGTTCAGCCCTGTGTACCTTCCCTCTCGTTCACCCTCCACATTTCCCATCTCTGAGCACCTCAGCTTTATAGGGATGTCAGCTTGGCCCCAGTGTAGTCCCATTTACAGCCAGACTCCTGAACTTGCCTATGAGCCATCCTCATTTCCAAAAAGGAGATATTGGGTGTTGACATTGTACGAAATAAGGTGGGATTGTCCCAGAAGCAGAACATCTGATAATCTGATGTAGTCCATGCCAATAAATTGGGCTTACCTTTAAAAATCATCTGGATTTGCAAGTATTAGGACAGAGAATATAGAGAGCTTAAGATTTTCTAAACTACAAGTCCTACCCAAAATATTATATTTTCATGA